ACTTCTTATCTTTTCATATTTTGCCTAATAGACTAGACATCCGTACATTCCCATAATTTTTTAGGATGGATGGTTCACCGCGACGCCGCACTACAAGCGAAAGATTACAAAGCATATGAAAAATCTTCTTCTTCCCTTGCCTCGCACGTTTAAGGGAAGAAGAAAAACATACATTATCATTCAAACAACACCGTTTCAATCCTTTTTTTTTTTGTGAGCAATGCATGAAATGACGTTGTTTTGGGCAAAACGACCGTTTTATTTAAATGAAAATGACACCAAACTTATGTCAAAGCCTACATTGTGTACCTGATCAAGCTCTTTCTAATGCAAGGCAAGCAATTTGAATCGATAAGCAGTGCTTTCTCGTACTAATCAAATCATTATTCATACAAATAAAATAAATGCTTTAAACCAATTCGGTTCTCAATAACCCTCAAATTGAAATGTTAACTTTTTGTGACCAATCAAATGTTATTTCATCTTTAAACCAAAAGCTTTAAAATGCTTTCATCACTTCAAGAACCTGTCAATAGGAATTCCTTGAATTGTTTAAAACAAGTTTATTTTGAACCAATATCAAAATGATTTATGTGGTTGGAATAACTTAGGAATTCCAGATAAATTTTAGGATAAGGTGGCTACACAAGTGTTAGAAGTTTTGGAGCTATATGTCCAATGCTCAATAGCATTTAATACATCTCATTTAGGGATAGGGACAATAAAGGAAGTTGTTCTTGAACCCTTTGGTAATTTTCAATTTGGGTTTGGCTAGAAAGTTTTAAGGCTTAGGTTTTTTTTATGTTGGCAATGTGGGGTGAAGGGTTGTAGTTTTGGGATGATTTTTTTCTACCCCTATAGCCATCTTCAACATGATGGATCTCTTTTTCTTTTTAGGTGTAAAAATTCTACCATTCTTGGCACCTTGCTCTATGCGTCCACGCACTACCACAACATCAATAAATTGCTAAGCCGAATTACCCATCACATGTTCGTAATATGGTGCTTCAAGTGTGTTGGCAAATAAAGAGACCATCTCTTTATCCGAAATTGGAGGATGGACTTGAGCAACTAATTCTCACCATCTTTGAGTATAGTCCTTTATGTTTTCTTTGTCCTAGAGAGCTTTTTTTTAACCTTAGACAGGCAAATAATTAAAAACCATAACCAAACCTTAGATTTTATCAGACATTAAAACAATACAGCTTACCTTAGGTAGACCGTATTTGGGGTGCTAATATCTTTTCTTTATGCAATCAGTCTCCGTACCCGATTTCTAAGGCCAGTTAGGGTTCCTAATAACCAGAATACTAGGTAACAACTCCTAGTATATATTTTCTGGATAAGAGACAATAATTTCTTATCTTTTCATATTTTGCCTAATAGACTAGACATCCGTACATTCCCATATTTTTTTAGGATGGATGGTTCATCGCGACGCCGCACACGTATGATAAGCGAAAGATTACATAGCAGTAGCAACAAGGGAAGATTCCAAAGCATATGGAGAATAAAAAGACTGAGGATTCACAACAACAACAAGGAAGCTTCCAAAGTAGAGGGAGTCAAAGCGCCCATTGAAGAGAAGGAAAAAGAGTTTTAAAATGTAATGATTATCATATCAAATTGAGAATAATAAGAGATTTAACATATTAGTTAATCAACATTTCCTACTTATATGTATAGAGTAATGTACAATAGTTAATGTAAAGATTATAATACAAGAATAATAAATCTTTTCAAAATATATACAAGTCTTTAATAATTAATATTGATATGTATATTTTGATTTGTCTAAAGATTGATTAGAGAAGAGATCTAGTTTCGATTGATGAACAAACTAGTTATTGGGAGAAAAAAAAGGTTTGTCTTGTGAAGTGTTTGTTTTAATATTATAAAAAAATAAGCCCCAATTAATTATATGGGTTTGATAAATTGTGGAAATCAAAATTAATAGCTATTATTTTCTTACAGAAAGAACACATAAATGGATTAAGACAGCAGTAATTATAACAATATTGCATGCTGGATATTCATGTTGAATAAAGGTGTGCACAAGTACAATTATTACCCTAGAAGCAACACTTTTTACATGAATTAACAGTACAAAGCAGAAATGATTAGGGAGGGATTAACTTTTAATTAAGTGACAACCATTAAGAATGTTTAATAGGCTAGCTAGAGCTACCTGAAGTAAGGATATAATGAGATCAAGTCTTGCATTCTCTTTCTCGTTCTCATGTACATGTGCATTCATGTCCCAACAGAAAAAAGTGAATTTCAGTGGCCCATTCTTTCAAAACTATAATTTCCTTGTATATAAAACAATTTATAATAAAATTTAAAGTATCTGCTATTATTTTGTGTGCGCGCGCTTAATCATATTTATATTAAATGTGTGTTTAATAATATGGTATAAAATATTTTTGTAAAAGAGTTTTTTAATTAAAAATATATTAAAATAATTTTTTTATATTTATTTTACCAGTCTTGATATTAGTAGATCAAGATCATTTAAACAAATTTTAAAAAGTAATAACTTGATATTTTTTTCAAATAAAAAATAATATAAAAGGTACTTTAAAAAATAGGTTGAATTGCGAGACTAAATTTGGACAATTTACTAAATTTAAATGGCGTTTTAATGACATTAAATATTGGTTATAGATATAACATAAATTTTACTAAACTAATATATTTTCCACCAAACCTAGTTAAATGTCGCAAAAAATGTATAGTACAGATAATTTTCTTTATATTGTTATATATATTTTATCAAGATGCCAAGGATTTCCATTGAGATTATTGTTATTATTATGTATTTATAATTATTTACATCTAATAAACATACTTCACGCATGTAAAATACTCAATCATTGAATTCAAAATTTACTGGTAGCAAAAAATTAGAATAATAATTTTTTTTCAATCTTGAATTCTCGTGTGCCTTTTATCACAATTAAAAATGAGTGTGTAGGTGAGAATATAGACACCATCATCTCTAACAATCCCAATGATTTAGCCTTGGTTAAAAATTGATTCAAGATTTATGGAGACTAGACTCATTTCTTAGATTCAAATCTCATTATTAACAACCTTTAATAATTCATACACAAGCGTGCATGCACATATATCTCTTCATCTGAAAAAAATAAACAAGAACCCTAAAAGCAGGAATAGTGGGCCGCCCTCTGACTTAGCACTATCATGCACAATCCAAACACATAAACAAAAGAAAAAGTTACAAACCAATCAACTAAGCTCCACTCACTCCTCTCTCTCTCTCTCTCTCTATATATATATATATATATATATGAATAAAAAACAAGCTAATGAGTACAATGATCCCTTTATTTATGTTTTTCTTTTTCTTTCATCAATAATAACAATGCCAATATATTGAAAAAAAGGTGGATTGGTGGTGCCATCCATAACAATCTTAGAGCAACAGGAACAAAAGGCCTACTATCCCAATCTGCTAACTTCACCCCACTCATATATAACAATCAACAACATATAATTAATCTCTAATTTCACAAATATTGTTAAATTTAGCTGAATTTAGCAGTTGTTCCTGTGCCTAATCCCACCTTCAAACTACTAGTTAATTAACCAGCACTACACCTTGGATTAATTAATAATCCTTATAGATATTTATAATATTCTTGATCTCCAGAGGCTCCTAATGATCATTTGCTAGCCTAACATCATTAATTCTTCTTGCAGCTGGCCCAGCATTGTCTGTCCATCTATGAAGCTTGAGTTCCCTTTTCTCTTTTTTCATTTGTTTTCTTTAGCTTTTCGTTCATGACTGATACAACTAGCTAGCACAGCAATGCAGTAGCTCAGCTCCTAATATAATCTTCTCAATTCCTATATTGAAGTTATGATCATTTCCTTCCATCTTGGTTGGATTGATACAACACTACAGATATTTAGAATCAGTACTTGATCATTGGATAGAAGCTGTAAGTTTAGCTAGCTTTACTATATATCATCCTTCTACCTGAAAGTACCACCAAATGTTGGTGTCCAGAAATCAGCTGTGGTCTCATTAGCAACAGGAAATGTGCTAGGGACAGGCACAAGACATAGTCCTCTGCTTCTTAGATCTTGTTTTGGCCCTTCTAGGTCATTCAGTTTGTCAGCTGGAGCCTGTAAATTTGAATATATATCAAATCAATTAATTATGCTTCAATAGAGTCTTTTGATTCATCTAGTGGAAATGTTGGCCAAAAGCAATCAACATGAAGAAATAAAGAATTGTTATACCTGCTGATGGTGAATGGGGTTGCCATTTTTCATATATGGAGTACTTAACACCTACATTAACAAAAACAAAAACATATATTAACAAATAATCCCTCAATTTAAGCACTTAAATATATTTTAATCCTGTCTAAATGAAGTAGGGTTTCCCATTAATTAATGTATGTACACATTTTGTAGGATTCTAACTTGTTACCTTTACCCTACTTAATTTGAATTAAGGAGTGAGAATCAATGTAATAAACACTCGAATATTGGTGTCAGGAAGATAGAAGAACATACACTGACTTGATCATGAAGGAACTTGATGTACTCGATAGCTTCATGGAGAACCGATGCAGTATCAGTCTGGACAAGGTAGAGTACATGACTAAAGGGTGAGCTTTCAATTGAATCATAAAGCAAAGACTTATTTTGGTATTTGCACTATTTGAAATAAAGTAGAAAAATCCAAAAGCTAACCTTTCCGAAAGGTGAAACCAATTGCTGGAGGGCAGTTATTCGGTCTCCTAGCTTCTCTTTCCGGACCTGATAACAAAGTAACATCTTCACATTCACTTCTTCAAAAGATGAAAAGATAACCAAGCAAGAAAAAAAAATGAAAAGAATATGTCCAGTACATTCTAGTACTCATCAAGAGCTCGATACTTAGAGTTCTCTATACCTTGAAGGTTGGTAATGGAGATGGTGTTTCAATTCGAGGCCTTTTGAAAGCTGGTTCGCTTCCTTTCTTAACTACCGAAACCGAGTCTCGAACTTCTTTGCTAGGCTGAAATTTGTGAATACACAGAAAAAATGATGTTTAGTCCGCAACCCTAGTCACTAATTGATGAACAAGGCTAATTAATTAATTTTTAATCATCTTTAATTACCTTTGTAGTGAGGTTGGAGCAATTGGATTTCTCTTCAAAAGCTGGCACAAGAAATTGGGACTGTGATGGGGGTAAAAGGTTTGCTCTAATATCGTTTATTCTAGTTGGCGAGGCATTCCAATAGGGTGTGTTGTTAGTAAAGTGCAAAGTGCTAGGCTGTTGCTTTGGCAAAGAAGATTTTATTAACGGAGATACTTTAGGCCAAGAAGGAGATGATAATTCAGTCATGTTGGTCCCATAATTTGGAGCTGTTGGCGACAAGTAATTCATAAACCTGTTGTTGAAAAGAGACTGTGCTTGTTGTGGTTGAGGATGCTCAGGTTCAAATAAACTTTGTATCAATGTTGAAGGGTAGCCATAAGATGCTGATGGCTCCATTGAAAAGCCCGTAGAAAATCCCTGGCACGTTGGTGGCGAATTGCCGGAACTGTTAACCGGATTTAGCCTTCGTTGATCCAAGGAAAAATCTTCAGCAGTGCTTGTATAGCTCTTTGGGCTCCAATCTTTTTGGATTTGAGAAGAGTTTAGTCCTGCTGAATTCATCTCTTCTTGCATCATGGAATTGTAACTCTCAGTTCTTCCATTCCCAGGACTGCAAGAAGATCAAGGATTCTTATCACTGATTTAAAATCTTTACCACTTGATAAAAAAATGATGATCATTTTGACTTGCTTTTTGTTACAGAAACAATAAACATAGCCATGAATTTTTTATCTAACTTGTAATTGAAATGAAATTCTTTGGACTTTAAGACCTTCAGCTTGGACTTCCACCATAATCTGAATTTAAGAAGGGAAAAAAGAAAAAGAAAAACAAAACAAAACAGGAAAAGGAACAGCATGGTTACCAAACTTACAGAAAAGCTGGGTTCCAATCCGATGATGACGAAGATGACGACGAAAGGCCATACCCCATCATTTGCAAGGTGGAGTCAATCAAAATACTGCTACCACCACTATCTGAATCAGCCTGTTGAGGTTTCTGAGAATTTAGGAAAGGTATAGAGGTATCGGACACTGAGGTAGTAATATGATTAGACTCCTTGCATGATATTGACCTTGCCTTCAAGTCTACCATATCAGCCGTGGTCCATGATCCATAAGTTTCCATATGATCGCTAGCGATGCTCACCGTAGAACATGGTGACAAGCCGCCCATGAACACGCTTTTCGACGAATTCATCCACCAGTTTTCGCCACAAATCCCGGCCTGAAACTCCTCCGCCATGGCCAAAAACTTGTTATATTAATAATCTCCGAGTTCTCTTTGTAGGTGTGTCTTCTTTCAACCAGTGACTTGGAGCTTAGCTTAGCTATCTCTCTTTATAATGAAGCTCTGTATTGTATGGTTGAGGGAATGTAATCTATGCAATATTATATATGAAACGGTTGAGGGGTACGGGTAAGGGAATTTACCAGAAATAATTAATAGTTGACATATCAAAGGGGGATGATTGGACAAATGAGAGGAAGCATTTTGAATCGAATTTTTTTCCTTTTCTTTACTTTTGTTTCAATTATTTTTTTGTTCTCACTTTTTCTTAATTATTTGGGGTATAATTTTTTTTAAAAAAAGTATTTTTTTATTATTATTGTTATTGTTGTTCTTAGTATTATTTCCAAGATACCATTTGTTTTTAAATTTGGAATTGCATATAGCTTTAAAACACATGAAATTGATTTTTTTTGTATTTTTTATTATTTAATTTGCTGATATAAAAAAAATATTAATTTTTATATATATTTTCAATTAAAACAACATTTAAATAAAATATTTTACATCATAATACCAAACCCATTTTAGTATTTTCTATTTATCTTTTATACAATACGATCATAAAATTATAAGTTCTGAATTAATTTATAGATTTTGATCAATCCATTGGGCTTAGTGTTATAAAAAAAATTATAGAAAATTACTATATGGCCACAAATTCAAATTGAATTAATTTTAATATCAAAATAAATAATAATTTAATCTAAAAATTTAAAATGTTGCCTAAATTTTCAATTTTTATTAACTCTAACTTACACAAAAAAAAATTATTTAAATATTTTTGGATGCAAGTTTTTGTTCTTTATGGGCATGGTTATGATGATGATGGGGATTGATCAAGGTGACAAATCCAACTGTTGGTATTCTTTGTTGATTAGTAAACAAAAAATAAAAATAAAGATAAACCTGAGAAATAGGACCATATAGAACCGACGGTCCCAAATGCATGATGGTGGAGGGTATAGGAGGTTTGGTTTCTACCTGCCACGGATTCTAATCCTTGGCGCGTGAAAAAAAAAAAACCCACGGATTCTAATCCTTGGCGCGTGAAATAAAAAAAAAAAACCCCACTAAAGTGTTATATAAATCAACTAAAAAATGAGTTGATTTTATTAATTTTCCATAACACAAAAAAGAAATATTCTAAAACAATTAATAATAGTTTCATTTTTATTAGAGAATATTATGAGATTTTCATAAATAATTTTGCATGGTGGTATGAAATTAAGTTTTGCCTTCAACTATATTGGAAAGTTGAATTTAAATAGCTTCAATGATACAAAAATAAATAAATAGATGCACCTTGAATTGTTGTAATTCAGCTAATATTAATGTCAATTATCCTCATAAAAGATTTTAAGTTCCAACCTCTCTTCTACAATAAAAGAATGTTATATATGGTCTTTTATTTTATTTTATATTATTATCCAAAAAATAGGAGTTGATATAAGATTGAAATTGAGTCCCATTAAATTATTTTAGAACAATGTAAATCAGTTTTCTAAAACAATAGTGATTTCATTATTAGAACAAAGGGTAAAATTTTCATAAATCGTTTCATCTTCAGTTTTTTTCATTGCTAAAGCTTTTAGGGACGAGATTTCTACTTTTGGGCAATTTCTTTTCTAGATTCCATCACGGTACGTACTCTCAATACATTAGACCAAAGTAAGGGGATGTATTTTCAAGATCGTATGAGAAAGAAATTTTGCTTTAATTGATGGGTAGAATATTGGTCTGAAAATAACTCTTGTCATCAAATAAAAAATTAAATTAATTTTTTTTTATAATCATTGAGTATATTAAAAAGACCATAAAATCGATAACCAAAGTGAAATAAAGGATATAAAAAAAATTAAATTTTGTTTTCTACTAGATTAAAAAGGTGATTTAATTAGTTCTTAACAAATAAAAACTAACTAGAAAAAAAACACACCAATCCAGTTCCCTCGGTGTACTTACTGCATTATCCTTTTAATTAATAAATTTATTTCATCAAGTGGAAAAAAACGAGTATAAATCTCAATTACAAGACAATTTATGAATGCCCCGATTGATTTTATTAGGTTAGTTATTTCATGTAAAGTGCTTTTTAAATTAGTTTTGTAATTGAATATATATAAAAACAATTCATTTTTTATTTTTTTATTTTTAATATCAACAAATCAAAATCATAAAAAAACCATATTAAAAAACATTAATCTAATATTTTTTTAAATTAAAAGCATTTTTAAAAACACCAAAAAACAGAAGCAGAAACTCTTCCAAATACACCAAAAATCTATTACAGATTCTCTAATAACTATTCATCTTGAAATATTAATTTCTAACAATTATCACAAAACAGTGAAGGAATATCTCAAAAATTATGATATATATTAATTGAATATATATAAAAACAATTCATTTTTTATTTTTTTATTTTTAATATCAACAAATCAAAATCATAAAAAAACCATATTAAAAAACATTAATCTAATATTTTTTTAAATTAAAAGCATTTTTAAAAACACCAAAAAACAGAAGCAGAAACTCTTCCAAATACACCAAAAATCTATTACAGATTCTCTAATAACTATTCATCTTGAAATATTAATTTCTAACAATTATCACAAAACAGTGAAGGAATATCTCAAAAATTATGATTCGTTTGGGGGTGTTCCTTAACAGTCTTAATTAAGAGTTATGTCATTATATATAGAAATTCCCAGTCATTTCCACAGCCATCAACGCTATCATGTTTCCCATTTTCTTAAGACATAGCACATGGAAATTCATACAACGAACAGCTAGCATAGAAAGAAAACGTAGAAATGATTGAGCAAATCACCTCCCATATATGTCTTAATTGCGTGAAGTCTTTTGCATTATCCAAATTGCCTACCGTAAGGATTTGATTGTTCAATTTGCCCATGCAGTAGACTTTTTCCAAGCCATACGGTGTATCTATTTTTTAAAATTGGAAATATTCATTGATTTTCATTAATGTTGATGTTATAACATTAATTCTTTTTACTTATATATAGATTATATAGCAAGGTTGCTTTCAACAAAAAGAAATTGGAGGAAGACCTGCTAATCACTGGCCATTGGAGGCATTAGGCAAAGCTAAGAAAACAGTGGCACAGTTGATCAAACCATTTGCTGCTCCTAATTTCTTATGTAAAGAAATCAGCACATTGGAATCGATGATCTCATGGCAAAAATCAATTGAGAGTCAATGGGATAAGTCATCAAATTCGTCAATATATGATCATTTAAATTAATGAATATTTAGATTAAAAAAAAAATTAGTGCAACTACTGTAGCAGGAGAGTCAGCTACATCAACTTAATTAATTAACTACATGGACCACCTTACTTGTATCCTTTCTTATTATTCCCTCGTTTCATTACTATTGGAATTCTTTTGTGAAAATACAATTATCGTAGGAAAAAATTAACAGTCTTCACTTCAGCATGATTATATTTTTTTTTCCTTTCTATTTTTTAAATAATCTTAACTTGAGTGTTTGTTTTAATTAAAAAATTATAAATATTAAGGGACAAGAAAAAAAAATTATTATAAAACTCAGGCTTTCAAAAATAACCAAATAAAATGGGCAACAAGAAATTAAAAAGAACCAATAAAAATAGGATGAAATTAAAAAAACGATGGAATTTATTAATTTAAAATTTTAAATTCATCCAAAATAGCTACTGAGAGTGGTTCAGCTGAAATTATTGTCCTCTTTCTCTCTTCAAGAGATAAGGTCTCGAGTCTAAGCATATTTGAAATGAAGTTTTTTAATAGCAAATTGATATATAACAGTTGACTTTGAAAAATTAAAATATCAAAACTCAAAAGACATTTGTTAGGTAAGATTCATATATATTGAGTTCTGATTTTCCCTGAAAACGTTAGAAATTAAAGAGTCTAATTTCAACACTTGAAGCTCACTTGACACTGATATTTAATAGTTGTATTAAGTCAACAGTCCGCCATTAGAATCAACTCAAAGAATTTTGTCAGCTACCACGAGTAAATATACATAAAGGATGATTCTTATTGCTCATGTAAAGTTGTATGCATAGATCCATTGTAATTGATTGTCGCAATTAAATATATGTGTACATAAGTTATGGACCACTGCCTAATAATGACTAATATACTATATATATGTAAGTGGCCACACGGGTACTATATTTATGAATTTCTAACAATAATATAGAAATTAAAAATGATTGAGAAAATTCAACTTTTTTCTTCATTGAACACGACTTGTATACATAATGACTTTAATCTAGATATATAAACACATTTAATTGCTCTATGAAAATATATATATATATATAGAAAAATTGTACTTGTTAGAAAATAATATAAATTATATCTTAAAATTTTATTTAATATTTAATTTATTGGGTTGAGATGATTCTTTAATTTGATATCAAAACCTCTTGATAATTAAGTGGTGATGAATTTAAATTTCTTTATTTTTATTTATTTGATAAAAATTAAATATAAGATAACGTGGATCTATACAAGTTTCAAGTTCAAAAAACTTTCACTTGAAAAAATATATTAGAGAATAATATAAATTATATATTTTATTTATTAAAGTAAATAACTTTGTAGATTAGTTAGTATTCTATCTTTTAATAAAAATATTTTAAAAATAAAAAAAAATAAAAACAAGGTTTTATTAAAACGTGTTCTAAGGATACCACACATTACAAACAATAAATGAAACATTTCACTTTCATAATTTAATATTGTTTATTATAATATATTTAAGCGAAATTAATTAATTTATTCCTCAAAGTAAGAAAAGAAGTAATGGTAATTTTACTTGCAAGCTTCTTTTCCATTATGATTTACATGATTTTTTTAGCTCCAAGTAATTTGAAAAAGTTTCCATTATGATTTACATGATTTTTTTACCTCCAAGTAATTTGAAAAAGAAAAGTTAAAAAAAAAAACAAAAAAAAAGGAAAAATAATAAAAGCTTGACACTACCAAACCGTTGAAATTACTAATTAGGAGGGGAAAACAGGAGGTCAAGCGTTTTCAATGGGAAGGAGCCTTGTCCCTTAGATGTTAGTTGGG